AACAGATTGTTCAGAATAAAGGAATTAATTAATAAATAATATGAAAAATTATATATAAAATTGATTTTTTAATTTTTTTTATTCTAAAATATAACAGCTAGGGGACTTACAAGGGACCACAAAATTGAAGATTTTACAAATTTTGGGAAATCGCCCACTGATTTTAGTTTTCATAATGGATTTCTGGCATTTTTTTTGGCATATTCTTGGTGTCAGAGGTAGTACTCACCACCAAATCCAGAACTAGTACATCAAGATTCTTCTTTATCCTTTTTTTTTCTTAGCATGAGATGCCCATAATTTGTAAATGGTCCATACCTTACCTATACATCTATTCTTTTTTCTTTTTTTTTGAAACATCGTCTAATGTAATATCAAAGAAATATGGATAAAGAGTACCATACCCGTTAAAACAAAAAGTAAGAGTACCGAGTGCTAACTACATAAAACTTAAAATTTAGTTGAAAAGGTGAATAAAAACTTAAAATAAATATAAAAATATACTCTTAAAATTATTTATAAATTAATTAATTTTAAAATATATAAAAATTAAATAAACCTTTTTTGACGGTAAATATCCAAAAAGTTTGATTTAGCTGTCAATAATCAATATAAAGTCTTTTATTAGTAAAATACTAGTAGTACAGTAGACGACCGCAAACTAAATGCATGATTGAGAATGAATAGTACAGTAAGGACAAAACCAAGTTCTGCTTCTTCTCATTTCTTATCCAATAAAAACACTCAGTTGATAATTGCTCAATATTCAAAAAATTCTGATATTTGGGTTTCGTGATCTTATCTCGTAGTAAGGTGGTTTGAAACTTTGAATCCTTCTTCCCGAAATGTGATCCGTTTAAATATATATATATATATATATATTCAGAAAATTCCGTGTGCGACCCCTGTTTTTCTTGAAGAAATGCTGAAACTTGAGCAAAGCCATGTGACAACTTGGGTTCCGGTGATCATCTCATATTAACTACACCGCCACCGCACGGCCACCGTCAGCAACCTCCGTCTACGTATATAAACACAAACACCATTCTCAAGTATCAGAACCCATATCTATCCTGAGACATCTCTCCAGATTTTCTTCATTGGAAGTTAAGTGATCATCGATTTTCATGATGGGGATTCGTCTTACCTTCCATTATTTCTGGTGTCAAGCAAAGGCTGAGAAAGTCATCAGAAGTTCCGAGAGGACATGTTACTGTTTATGTTGGAGATCAAAAACAAAAGAAGTGGTTTGTGATGCCGATATCATGCTTGAACCATCCTTTGTTTAGGGAGTTGCTTAAGAGGTCAGAGGAAGAGTCTGGCTTCAATCATCCAATGGGTTTCCTCATCATTCCATGCAAAGAGGAAGCTTTTGTTGATCTGATCAGCCATTCATTGCATTCCTAATGAAAGACGAAGATGTTAATACTGATCCGTTCTGTGCTATAAAATGTTGTAAAAACTAAAACAGAGAGAAAAACTTTATCAACTATGACCTTAGATGTTTTTTACTCCAAGGAACAAAACTCAGTTTCCTCTTTTTTCTACCGAAAATTACTTGTAATTTTAAAATAGTTTCATGTTTTTCTCATTGAATTATATAATAAAAGTGCAGTTAAAGTACTAAAATTTTGAAATATCATTAAAAGGTTTTATTAAAAATATTTAAATAATTTCAATGTCAATCACATGAAAAATACTTTTTTTATTATAAAATAGGGCAGCAACTATTCTTTGATGCCCTAAACAGACAAAATCTATGGAGCATCATAAACATTTGGGTATCTTTTTGGAGTACAGAGGAAAATTTAGAAATGTATTTAAGTCTAAAAGTAATTGCAGTGGTTCACGTACATTTCCCTACCAAACTATTCCCAAGAACAAAAAACCAAAAATGTCAGTAGCTGCAACTGCAAACCACTTGATTCCCAAGGTCCTTTTTTTTTATTAAACATAAAGCTGCAAGCAGAAAACATTTTTCTGGCTAAAATTTATCCCTATAGAGAAACAAACATACCATCAATAGCAAGTTTTATATACAGCCAAATTTGCTGCCATTCTTCTGACATACCAAAGGCCTTTATCGGAGTGTCTTAAGGCAAAATTTTCAGGGGGTGCACAATTGATCCTGAAACTTGATTGGAATCAGTGTATTTAAGTATAAAATTAAGGGCAGTATATCTACATAAAAGCTGCAAGCAGAGTAATTACTGTTGGTGATATCTAATGGAAATGAAGGAAATCTATCCCTATAGAAACCTGCAAAATATAGCACTTTGCCTAATTGTCCACATCTTCTTTAGGGTTCCTTGAGCATGTGCTTGATATCTGTGGCTCAATTGATTCCTCAGGTGCTCTAGATATCCTAGAATCCATTAGGATTCATGCATGTTATTTTACTTCTCTTTCTTATCATGAGCAAAGACAAAATTTTGAGTAACTCTCCTTTCTCTCTTCAAAAGATAAAAGTTTTTTTAAGAAAATAAGAAGGAATGCATGTGATGTCAAAATTTTTTTAAACAAAGCAAGTCAATCAATGCTTGTGCCTATCAAATGATCGTCCCCAAAATTGGCCTAGGTGCCGCAACTTATACTATTTCTTTACTTACTGGCTTGTACTGACGCCAACTAATTAATCTGTTTATCATATGTCTAGGCATTATCTTCTCAAGAAAATGGCTGAAGTTTCTGTTTATTATATCCATCATCCTACCCTAGAATCGTTAAAATCTTAACCAATTACATAGAAAATAGGAAATCAAGAAAAGTTGCGGCAATCATGGTACGGGTACCTAATCTGAATGTGGGTAGTAGCAAACCACATGAATATGTTGCTTCGTCTGATAAGACACCACCAATAATATCCATCAAGTGTTTCTGTTTTGAGAGTGACTTCAAGAAAGTAAAAAGGCCCTAGCTGCACCGCAATGAGCATGGGAATTGGTTGATGAGAGAGAGAAATGAGTTGTTGAAATAGTTGGCAAAGCCATGTAAATCTCTGAGGAGATGGATCCCCTCAGAAGGCCAGATTGTCATATCCATTGACAGCATACCCACTTGATTCTGTCAACAAAAATATGAAACTCCATTCTATAAATACCAAACAATCCAGCTATCAAGCTATCCAAGCTTAATTCAACTCCTGCATCTCAAGCAGAACAAAATTAGATCAACTCACCATTTTTGCAGTTTCACTTCAGAGTCAAGATATGGGTATCCGTTTGCCATCCATGATTCTTAACGCCAAGCAAGCAGTCAAGCTGCAGTCTCGCTTTGCAAGAAACTTGACAGATGTGCCAAAAGGGCATATTGCAGTTTATGTTGGGGAATTCCAGAAGACCAGATTTGTTGTTCCTATTTCATACCTGAACCATCCGTCATTTCTGGACTTGCTCGACTGAGCTGAGGAAGAATTCGGCTTCAATCATCCCATGGGTGGCCTAACAATTCCCTGCAAAGAAGAAGCTTTCCTAGATCTCACTTCTCGGCTGCAAGCTTCCTGAAAGATGAGGAACAAAGAGTAGAAATCACAGATACAATTTTGCAGAGTTATTCTGTTTTCTTATTCCATTCATTTTCCCAGTAGAAAATAACAATTGTACATGTGTAAACATTCTGGTATGTAAGCAGGAGGAGAGATTGAATTGCTCTTCCACCAAACTTACTACAAATGAAACTCTCTCATGCCTTTTCGAGTCTATAATCCTTCTGCTTAAGCAACAGTTCTCTTTACAGGCATTTGCTAAAGGAATTCGGAAACCAAAAGGCACATCATCTTCATGTAGTCAAATTACCAATTTTAACTGGACAATGATAAGAAACTACCTAAAAGTTCTTTCCTAAAACTCCAATCACAAATTATTGGGAGGAAACAGCAAAGCAGGACATATGCCTATATGGTTTCACATTTGATTTAGAGATTGTGAAAGAGAGCCAATGGATTTAACAGTGAATAAAGAGAACTCATATTTCCATCAAGAGTCATTAGGACAGTTATTAAAGCTCCTCCTCATGAGTCAACTGTGTTGGCTCCTTTGGTTCTCTCTGCTGGACCATCAAGAAAGATGAAATATTAAATTTTTCAACAATAACTAGTCAAGTCTTTTTATTGCGTATGTAGTATACCATAATTTCAGTGTCAACCAATTTAGTTTAGATGGGCAATGGACTCATTCAATGGAATGTGACAGAACTCCAACTAAAGATAGTGCTTTCCAGACCAAATCAAACAACTAGATTACAACGGCCACTGTATTAACCCGACCAATCCACATTCTTTCTTTCTCATATTGTACTGACATGTAAGGACCAAGCACTAATTAGGAAGAGAAGCAAATTACCAGAGAAATGACATGGCTGGTCAAAAAAGCTATCCTTTCCAGTCTGGCCCAATGTTTCATGTTGAATGTTGAAATCCCTTGGCACAAAATCTCATCCCAGGGATTTGCCCCTCTTTTCCATTCTGTCAAAGGCACTGATAGTGACAAGTTCCGGAAAACTGTCTTCGCCACCTGATCACACAATTGGATAAACATAAGCGGAAGAAAGGAAAAGGATAGATTGATATTTGCACTCCCACCCAAGCTAGTTGAGAGATAAAAGGATTCCTTTTATTGAGTCTATTGCCCTTCAGCTTGACTAACATTTTAGCTTTAAAGAGATGAGATACTTAAAAACATAACATCTTCAGTTAGTCAATTTACCTGATTTAACAGGATATTTTAATTAGAACCTACAAAAGAAATTCATTTCCTTGAACTCTAGTCTCAAATTGTTCGGAGGAAACAGCACAGAAGGACAAATACCTCATATTGCTTGACATTTTAGAGACTGAAAGAGAAAACCAGTTGGAAGTGAGTGACTGAATAAAAAGCACTCTGATGATGGTTATGGTCCCAAAAGGGTTCAGTCAATCGGAGCTCCCTTGAGAAGCTCCTCAAGGGACACTAATTGTGTTGGCTTCTTCAGTTCTCCCCTGCTGGATCATCAAGAAAGATGAAACAATTACTTTTTGACAACAATTCCTGTTTCAAGCATTTTGTTTTAGATGGGAAATGGACTCATTCAATGGATTGAGAATTTGAGATAGACTCCAACAAAAGATAGTGCTTTCCAGAGCAAATCAAATGATTAGTTTTCTTTCTTTCTTTCTTTCCTTCTTTCTTTTTCCTTTTTTCGTGCCAACATCAAACCAACAACTAGATTGATTGAGATAGTGCTTTCTAGGACAAATCAAACAACTAGTCTACGATGGACTTGGCCATTGGGCTAAACTAGCCAATCAATCTTGATTCCTTCATTCTCATGTTGTAATGACATGCAAGGACCAAGCACTAGCTAAAAAGTGAAGAAGGTTACCAGAAAATGACATGGATGGTAAAAAAAGACATGCTTTCCACTCTGTCCCAGTATTATAAGTTGATTGCTGAAATCCTTTGCGGAATAAAGAAGCTCATCACATGGATCTGTCCCTCTTTTCTATCCGTTGAAAGGCACTGATAGTGGGGAGTGACAAACCTTGGAAGCCTTCCTTGGGCACCTGACCCGATAAACACGAGAGGACTGTCGGTTTTTGACCTAATTGAGCAAAACCATGTGCGCGCTCGAGGGGGTGGGTCCTCTCAAAACAATTCCCACCCCCAATTGCGACTCTGCTGACTCTCTCTCTTTTTGGAAGGTACGGAGAGTAGGCATTTAACTTTAATGCTCTATACATACGGAGCAGCATATCAGCCTCCTACCTCCAAGGTCTTCAACTTCACCTTAGCATTTTCACAAATACTTCTACTTCATTTCCCAGTTGTATTTCATCCACAAAGCAGCTGCTCTCCACCAATTCGGAATCAGCAGTGATGGGTATTCGATTGCCATCCATGATTCTTCATCCCAAGCAACTCCTGAAACTGCAGAGAAATCAATCAGGTGTGCCAAAAGGCCATATTGCAGTATATGTTGGAGAGGTTCAGAGAAAGCGATTTGTTGTGCCCATATCTTTCTTGAACCATCCATCCTTCATAGACTTGCTAAACAAGGCAGAAGAAGAGTTCGGCTTCCATCATCCCATGGGAGGTTTAACAATACCATGTGAAGAAGAAGCATTCATTGATCTTACTTCTAGATTGAATTCCTTGTGAAGAAGAGAAAAGAAATAGGAGAAACGTCTGCAACTTTGATTACCCTTTGTAGAATAGAAAACCTGTAGAATATTCCATGTATGTGTATAATCTCCTCAGATTTTCCAGAGGTAGATTTCAATCTCAGGCATCTCCAAGTTCTCCATAGTTTTACCCATAAAATCTACTTGTGTATTAATATAAACAACATGAAATCAGAAAAAGAGAAGAGAGAGAGAGAACAGTAACCACTGAACAATAATTAACAGACAATTCTGATTCCATGGTTATCCTTATTGTGCTGTATACACAAGAACAGTTGCTAATAATCTACAAGTAGTATGCATCATCCTTATTGATTTCCAGGGTGTATTCGACATGTCAGTGGAATACTGAATGCCATGCCCGCTCGAATGGTAACTCTATAGTGATGATCTTTATGACTAAATTATCAAAATGGAGCGTATAGCATCACTTTTACACTGGATCTACCGTTACTTTCCCTTGTTGTTTGCCTGCCTTTGTATCTAAAGTTGTACCAAATCTATGGAAGAAAGGAGCTTCCAAATTCTCCTTGAAATTTCCAAAGGTAGCAACGGCTGGAACAAATGCTACATATTTACTAACAGTTAAGAGCATAGATTATGTTGAAGGGAGACTGTTATTTTCTAAGTTGTTTCCCAGGAGGCGGACAAATATTCCCCTTGTTATTCCAAAGAAAGATTGCCAGTTCGAATGCTGCGCTGCTGATGAGCTATTCCTTTTCCTAATCGCCACTGGGAGGAGCTCCACTCCCCTGGTTTTCCATTGAAAGAAGAAAGTTTTGGTTGAAACCATCTCTTTAACTTAAACCCACTGATTCTGATTTTCCCATATGATTCATTCCCTTGGTACGTTAGTCCAATCCTCCTCAATAACGATGCAATTTCTTGACCAATCCTGTCCACCAAAATAATCAGAACAGAAAATCTTTGCCAATTAAAAAAAAAAACAATCAGGATAGAAAATCTATCCCATACTTGGGATAATGTACTACATCTTAATCAAACCTATATACTGTTATGTTATTTTTTGGGGCTGGTGCTGTTTTTGGCTGGTTTGTTGGTTTCATTAACGCAAATGTAGTATTGCCTTTTTTGATACTGGATCTTCGTTCACTATCAGAACATTTATTTTCTATAATTAAGTTTTACCTATATTAGTCTACATCTGAATCATGAAACTAACAGAAAATGATCTAGATCCCTAGCATCTATGCTGGCAATTTATTTCCTAAGTAATGTACTAGAATTATGTGAGTGGGTGAATGCGCATGATTGCATAAGTAGAACCTCTTCTCACCTGCCTGCAAGATTGACTGCTTTCTCTCCTTTAGAAGAGATAACCTGTGCTTTCTCTGAGGGCAGTAAGATGGTTATACTGGGTAACTTTGCACCTGTAAAAAGGTCACCAATTCATCAGTTTATATCCTCCTTTATCAAACTAAACATAATTTTGAGTATCCAATTAATTTTGACTATTCATTACAAGCAACAAGAGAAAATAAAAAAGGAAGGAAATTATAAATAGAGTGATAACTTCTAAGGTGGGCTGAATCAGAATATTACCAGCAGCAAGCCGATGCTTGAGACATTTCAAAACTGTTAGGAGGTAAACCTGAAAGGTTTTTCATAGGCATCATTTAAAATGAATCTTTATGTACCAAAACAATGATGCAGCTAACTCTTATCACCTGGACATTTGCAAAATAAAAACAAAAATGTGCCCATGCTTAATGGCATACGCATCCAGACATCTTTTGCGTTAGTGGACAAAGAAGAATAAGGGTTGTCATCAAAAGTTGGGAACAAAAGAGAAATGAGCAGAGAAAGGATCTAATGAAGTTCGGCTTTCAATAACTCTAAACAGTTTCAAAGAGATCATGCAAGAAAATTGTATGCAAAACGTGTTTGGTGCTCCATTTCCAACATATTACTACACAGCAAAAGATATGCATACCAAGAGAAAACCTCCTTAACAATACTCAGATTTTACACAAAACTAATGCTGTGTAATGATGCCAAGATTAAACAAACCTCGGCAATACGAATATGCAACTCTCTTGCATCAACAACAATAGGACTTTCTTTGAAGGATACGCATGGGACAACCCCGAAAGAAGCAGCCTCCTAAATTTGGTGACAGCATCAGTAAAGTTCCATCTACTTTCACATTGACAGTTCATAAAACTGGACAATTAATGTCAGCATTTACAAACCTCAAGCAATGAAAAAGCACGAGGATCATATTCTCCAAATCCCAGGTTCCCAACAAATCTATCTTTCAAGGAAATGTCACGAGGGAACTGCAAGCATCCTAGAATTTGTGAAACAACTTCCATGGTAGGTATTGTACCAGCTACAATTGTTTCACGGTAGACCATTAAGGCCAGTGATGACCTGAGGAAGGAGTAGATTTACTTATAAAATTTTTCATGCACTGGGGTTATCATCCAAGAAGTAACTTTTGCGATGAAAATGCATATGCAACTAAATCAGAGAATCTCAACATCAATATTGCATATAGTTATTATTTCATGGTTAGTTGGAGATCTCCACGGTTACAGCAAAATTTAATAATAATAATAATAACAATAATAAATAAACAAATTTCCTCTTTACGGATCCAATTTTAGTTTGTGATGACCAGTTAGTTTGCAAGTTTAGACCTCATGCGCTCAAGGTATCTCTTTACAGACTGCAAGATTGTAAGGTGAAAGTTACTTAACCCCACAATCAGTGTATATTCTCCTCTAAACTATTTAATAAAGGCAAATTAAGAGATCTTCTTTCTGTAGTATGATGTCTACTCAGACAATTCAAAATCACTGTAGCAATCAAGGAATCAAATACCATCTGTTTTCAATTTGTGGCTGTCCTGAGTTGAAAGACAAAACAGGCTCACCAACCATCCAAGCCTTCTCAAACCTTCGCAAGCACATGCCTTCAGAGAGATCATATCAAAAAAGTTACTTACAATCAGCAAAAACCATATCCAATTACTGGAAACTTGAACAAAAGAATAAAGGAGGTTCCAAAGGAACGAAGGAAGCCATAAGCAACTTAGGATACTAAATGTCATCCAACCCACTTATATTGGAGCAACAAATAGCACCACCCATTAGCAACCTGGTTTTGACTCACCAATTATGCATCTAGACATGATGAGGTTAGGTGCAATCCCATCTTCTTTGGCTTGAGAGAGGAGCATAAGCCCTACTTCTAAGTCATCCTTTCTACAAAAGAAGAGTGATCAAAGGGGACAGTTAACGTGCCAAACTTCAGAGTTCCATAGGAAAATGTAAATATCACCTTTCACTTAATATTAAATAAACTCATAGAAAAATGTAAAACTGTTCCATAGCTTTTTTTTATATACTATATCAAATCCAGTGAACTCACTTTTCACTGGCCACCAAAAGAATTGAGTATGTGATGGTGTTTGGACACAACCCTAATCTCTTCATCTCGGATAGGATATCTATTGCCTTAGGCAGCTGATCACCTTCACCTGGATTTAAATCAAATTTTATCATTCCAGATTCCAATAGATCACAAAGAAAGGTATTCAGAAAAAAAAAAAATATTATATATATATATATATCAGCATATATACACCATGCTTTAAAATCATCAACACCCCATGAGTGCAGGGCACTTAAAGAAGAAATCACTATCTGGTATATGACCACCAATGTCTCC